CCACTTCAATCATAAATTAATACGAGTACTTACGACTATTCCTCCTAAAACTTGGTATCCGGAGAAATAGAGCAACTAGTAAAATCGGAAGGAGTATATATAGGATTGTGTATGTAAAGATTATTAGGATTGAATTTTCTATCTTATATTTACTTTGTACCTTAGTAAAACTAATTTTAAGTTATTCATTACTTAACGATGCCAACTTCACATTCTGTTAATAGTTTCAAAACTAATTCAAACTATTAATTTTTTTTTAATGTACAATGACGGCAAAAAAAAAAATAAAACACTGATTTTTTATTTCTTCAATTTTTTTTTTCTTGCAGTGTTAATATATGTATTTTAGAAATTATTGTTAGGGATTACTTTAGTATAGTAATATAAACTGAGTGAGTTTCTTCGATCGGGGACATCTGATATAAATTGAGTGGGTGGACTTACTTTAAACAGACTCACTCAATACTTTGTGCTAAACAAGAGGATATACTCATTACATAAACTAGAGCATATATGCCACTATGCAAGTTGAACCAAGAATGTGATTATAACTATAAACATACGTATGTATGAAAAGTTGAAAACTAGCTGCGTGAATTTAATTTGTAGGGGATTGGCGTAAGTAAAATAATTTACCTCAAGAATTTAATACTATGTACGTATAACAATTGCAGGGCAATTATGTTTTATGGATATGCATTGAGATTCATAAGAATATTAGATTGATGCATATGAAACAAAATAAGCATTCAACTTGTCATAGAGTTGATTACAATTATAACAAGTTTGATCAACTCATCATTTACATAAATTTCATGTATGCATTTATGCAAACATAAAATTTATGTAAATATTAGCTTCGCCGACTCTCTCTCTCTAGAAACCCTCACCGCCTCAGCGCTTCACTCTCTGTCGCCTTCTCCCTCCCCCGTTTTCTCGTCGGCGACCGGCGTTTCTTCTCCTTGTCGTCGCCGGCGAGGCCTATTCTTCGCTCTCTATGTTTTTGGCTGTTACGTACTTTTCACCTTTTTCAAGTTTCGGGTGATAGAGAGCGGTTGATTTGGAGCTGTGATGATGACAACTTCATTTTCTAGGTGTTTCGTTTCTGCTTTCTATTGTTCATATTACCGCAGCGTTATTTTTCCTTTTTCAGTTTTTAATTTTGTCTCCTTTGGTTTAGTTCTTTGCTCTGTCGATTTTAGGCTCTTGTTGTTTTCCTTTGGTTTAGGTGGTGTCTACTTGTTTTTTATTTTCCTTTGCTTGATTATTTTCCTTTGATTGTTTATTTTCTTAATTTGTTCTTGTAATTCCTCTTAGGTTCTCCTGGTTCTTTGTTTAAGTTGGGTATTTTTTTTTTTTTTTTGGAATGATCGAGTTTCTAGTTTATGTTTAGAGGTTCTTCGAGTTTTTACTTTGTAGAAGTTGTTGAGTTGTTATGCTTTCTTTTCCTTGGTAGTTGGATATTCTTGTTTAAGTGCTTCTGCTCTTAGTCTGTTTTAGGGTCTTATATAATATGGAGTTGTTTCCTGCCTTCATCTCTTTTCACCTTCCGGATGATTTTAATGATGAAAGTATTTTCCACCTTCTTTCCTCTAAGGATAATCATATCCCAATGATGTTGTTCGTGCTTCGGAAGTCAAGGAGCAAGGGAACTCCTTGTTCAAAATCGGCAAATTTAAACTTGCCTTTTCTAAGTATGAGTTGGCTAGTCAATTGTTGTGTTTTAATATGTCGTATTCTTTGGAAGCTTTTTCTTCGTTTTGTTCTTTGGCAAATCATCTCAATCTTGCAGCTTGTGCTTTATTGAAGCTTCTTGATTACTCTGCTGTAGTTAAATTCTATTCTTTCGTGTTAGATTTTGATCCCTGCCATATTAAGGCTCTTTATAGGAGGGCTTCTGCGTATCAAGAAATGGGTGGCAAGCTTCGTTCTGCTAGAAAGGATCTAGTTAAGGCTACTAAAGGTGATCCTAATAATGTAGAGGTGTTAACTAAATTGCATTGTGTAGAAGGTTTGTTAATATCTTTGGTTATTCAGAATCAGAAGGGTAAGATGGTCCAGTCTGTTACCCAGGTTGAGTTGACCTCTCAAGTTCCCAATGATTGTGTGACTGGTTATCAGGTCACAAAGATTTGTTGTGTTACGGAACTTGAAGCTCCGACTGCTGTCTTGTAGTGTAGTGTATTAGGTTCAGTTGTTGTTTCACAGGCTGGTTCATTTAGTGGTGATAAAGAATGTAATTTCTCACCGCCAATTTTAGAAAGAGCTGATATGGAATGTTATTTCCAATCAGACTCACTTAGTGATGACAGGGAGTGTGAGTCTTTACCACCTTTTCGTCAGGAAGCTGAAGTCTCTCGTATACATGAGTTTGTTTCTAGACATGTTTCGTGTTCATCCCTTCAACTTTCTTCCTCTACTTTGCAACAGGTTAAGCAAGACAACGTCATACGTTTTTACCATTCCAAGTCTCTGTTGTTAATGTCAATTCAGGTTTGTCCTAGTAAAAATTCTATCCAGACAGAGATCCCCTAAGATGTAATTTCTAGGGATGCATCGACCTCTGCTATTTCTTCTTTAGGTAAGTATCACAGTGGATTGGAGCAACAGGCGGTGTCCACTTCAGGGTTCCTGTCAGCTCCCATTTTGCAATCCACGTATGCTCCGGTGTTGTGTTCTTTTCCGCAGGAGGTGATCGCCTCAGAGATCTCCCATAATGTGAAGTCCAGTGCAATGTCCTCTACCTTTACTTCATTAAAGGTACGTGATCAGATCAGGAACGACTGACAGTGCCCATAACAGAGTCTCAGCGGGTTTCATGTTGTAGCAGTCCTCAGATGCTCCCGTGGCGCATAGCAGTTCGGAGTGCATGACTGCTTTTTCTGACGTTGATAGTCATATGGAGGAGATGGATTTATAGAAGTTGGTGGGAGAAGTTAGTACTTTCAATTTTCAGTTTTCCATTTTGCATTCAGGTGCCAAGTCTTCAGGTCAACTAGTTCGCCGATAATGATCTATTTCTCATCCACGGTTTAGGAATATATATAAGTTCTTTGGTGGTTCGACTTAGATCATCTTCAGGTAGTTCGTGTGGGTGCAAAGCATGATCGCGGGCCTAGAGTGGAATTAAAGTACTCTGACTCGGCTCGAATAAAGTTTGCTCGCAAGTGTTTTTGCTTAAGGCCTGTTCTCTTACGTTGAAATTCAGTTCAGTTCAGTTCAGCTCAGTTCAATTCAATTCAGCTCCTAATTTCCTTCTCTTATAAAATATTCATTTCAGTTCAGTTCAGCTCAATTCAGTTCAGTTCAGTTCAGTTGAGTTCAGTCAATGAGAACAGACCCTTAGTCTAGTTTGTTTGTTGTTTGTGTTTTAGTTTTTCTTTATCATTATTATTATTATTTTTTTTTTTGTGGTAAAGAGATATATCTTATACATACAGAGTATATGGATTATATATGATTTGTGATGACTAAACCCACAATTAATCAGCGGCATACAAAACTTATTGAATGCTACCAATGATTTTATTTAACTATTTCCTTGTTTTGTTTTTTTGTTAGTTTATGTTTCACTATTTAAACTCATTTTTTTTAAACGTTTAGTTACTAAAAAAAGGCTTTAATGTTGAGATATAAAAACTACATATCCATATAGTTTTAACATCCCACATGAATTTTTTTTCCTTATATTATTATCAATAGAGTATAGGCCTGTTCACATTATTTACTAAACTGAGTTGAACTGAAATGATTGGAGCTAAACTGAATTGAATGATTGGAGTTGAACTGAACTAAACTAAATAGAGGTGAAATGAATATTTTATGAGAAAACGAAATTAAGAGCTGAATTGAACTGATTGGAGCTGAACTAAACTGAACTGAACTGATTGGAGTTGAACTAAACTGAAATTAAGTTGGAGTGAACAGGCCCAAAATTAGAGTATTAAAAAATAAACAAGAACTACGAAAAGAAATAGGGAGGAGTATTGTTTTGGTGTGTTAGGAGAGAATCAAAATGCAATGGATGAAGCAGCTTTTTTTTTTTTCTTTTTTTTTTCCTCTCTAATTTTTTTATTTTATTTTATTTATTTATTATTTTTTGAAGATACAAAAGCTTAAGTCTTGTAATATATTTATAAACTAAGAGTTGGATGTACAAAAAAAATCATGAATTAAGAGTGAATACAAAGTTTTAGTTTGCAAATTTATGACATTGGTTTTCTTGAATAATTTTTCAAGAAATAGAAATTTGTAATTAGAGACTGTAAATAACATTTTATTTTGAGAGATGAAAACAAAAAAGGTAAGTGGATGTTGATTTTCTTGTAGATTTATCAGGAGATTCGTTCTCAATTTCATCATTTATTACCACTTATCAAATGAGCGAATGACCCATAATGATGATTTTTTAATATAAGAACCGTTACTATGGGCAGTTGTCATTTAACTGCATTTTGCTATACATGCGATGTAATTTCATACATGATACTTCACTCGATTCCTTTCTCGTCTTATAAAACTCACCATGCTAATGAAAATTCTCCAACGATAGCAGCTCTCAAAGCTTCAATATTGTAAAATCGTTGATACCAGCAGTAGTTAACTGTGTTTAAGAGCAATTTTTAAGATTTATTTAGTTCATTTTATTTCAAACTTTATTACTAATTTCAAATCAAATAAAAAAATAAGTTTAGATGAGAGATCGGGAAAATCGACAAATATGCCACTCAAACTGATACTCGATGCCCTATCCGACACAAAGAAGTGTAGATAGTAAATCCAAAAACGGGAAAATAGCCTTACATGAGCCGGTAGCCGAATAATGGACGAAATATTGGACAAGGTGTGACCCCACAGGAATAAAAGACCTAACAAAATCACGCTAGTAGGCTCCACTATGTGAACTAACCTCTGTCTATTCTAACAAACTTTTTTTTTATTATTATTTTATTTTAAAATTTATTTTAATACTATTTTTTTTAAAAAAAAAAAAAAGAAAAAAAAAAGAGATTTTAGTGAAGTAGTAAAACAGACAACCCTACTGAAGCTGGAATTTTCCATGCTTTTCTCAGCGTGGAAGCCAACCACAATGGTCTTCCCGTACCATTTCCTTGTAATCATTACAATAATAATAATCATAATATTTCATTTTCTCTTTCCTTTTTTTTCCTTCTATATATTTACCTCTTCTTTTGCATGACATATTCAATCATACGTTAAATTATATCCTCCCTAATAACATTATTCTTCCTTCAACCTTACTCCTTGCTCTCCTCTCATCTTCATCTTATCAATCTCATCGAGTTCGTCGATCGATAGTTCGACCATTAGCCACTAATAATCATCTCACATTAACGAACTCTCGATTGATACTTCGAGTATTAGATACATGTCTATGGATTGTTCGAGCTTACAACGGCACCAGGTAATTATTAGCATTAACAATCTCTAATTCAACTTATTATTGTGTCAATTTGTAGTTAATAAGAGTAGAGTGTTCTACCTTATTTTGTCTTTATTACATATGCTCTTTTTTACAATCTTTTATTAAAAAGGGAATTTTTCATCTTAATTAGCTTTAACAATTATTTTTACTATAATCTTTTTAGGTGAATACAAATATGATGGTTTGGCAAAAAAAAAAAAAAAAAAAAAATGGAGTACTCAACATTTTTTTTTGCACACAACAACAATAATCATCCGAATTGAATTGAATTGTATGCATATTTTATTTGACTAATTTAAACGTGTTACACTCGTTATATTATTTGATTATAGATTACAATACACTCGTTATATTATTTGATTATAGATTACAATACACTCGTTATATAAGACCCATCATATTATTCTCTTATATATCCTCAATAATTCAATGTCGCTTCTCATTTTTTCTTTTCATGGGTCTTAATTTACTTGCTCCACATCTTTTATTTTAAATTATTTTATTATTTTTTTTAATTTTAAGTTGGGTCACACACGTACTAACCCAGACTACCTGTTTTTCCTCTTTAATTTTTCATTTGCATAAAATCTTGTACGAGTACAAAAATATGTATGGGACAGGCAATTTGGACGGTGGAAATAATTTAAAAATTGACAATTAAAATTTGTACCAAATTTGTTGTTGATTTTACTTGATTAGGCACCTCATGCGTTTTGGCAATTCAAGTGTCCTTTTAAGATACCTTGCTTCTAAGTGAAGAATATAAACATATTTCAACTTATGTTAATGCATTGATTATTGGTTAATTAATTTAGTCATTAATCTCTTCCGCCCCACATTAACTTTATCACCTGTTTAACTTTTCATTTCTTTAGATAAAGTGGCAACACTATAATTACAAAGACCATTATTTCAACTAATCTAATCAATCGATCATTTTTGTTTTCTTTTGTCTTTTGTATTTCAATTTTACACTCTTTTTAATCCTTCATTCCATTTTGATAGATAGCTAGTGTCTATGTTTAAATTACTAGGTATGTCCTATTAGAAAAATTCTCTGGTGTAACCCTTTACAAAAAAAAAAAAAAAAAAAAAAAAAAACAAAAAAAAAAAAAAACAAAAAAAAAAAAAAAGAAACATATAAGCATGAAATCAGACATTTATATACCTTATATTTTGGCCTAGTAACAAAGACCAGTTTAAAATACGTTACAATTTCAAATCCACCTTTTTTTATGTGTAATTTGTAATGTTGTTATATATGACTCATTTGTTAAAATTGATTATTTAATTTGTGACAATGAAATAATCTATCGGTATAAATTAAATAAAAGTAATATAATCATGTCGCTTGATGATTAAAAGTTGAAGCTAGAAATTTATGTTCATAGAAAAATGAAATTGGTTTTCTAATCAAAGATTAAATATGCTTTCAAAAATCCAGGAAGCAATGGCCTCACAATCGCTAGACAGCATGTTGATGTGCACAAAACCCGAAAACGGCAGCCAACAATCTCAACAAGAGAAGAAACCAAGGCCAGCAGATGAGCAAGCAATGAAATGTCCTAGATGTGATTCAACAAACACCAAATTTTGTTACTACAACAATTACAGCCTCACTCAACCAAGGTACTTTTGCAAGTCTTGTAGAAGGTATTGGACAAAAGGCGGTACCCTAAGGAATGTACCGGTTGGAGGAGGGTGTAGGAGGAACAAAAGATCTTCATCAATGTCGAAACGAGGTACTAGCTCATCGGATTGTCACCTCCAAGTACCCGAACTCATGATCACAAACCCGACTTCTTCATCGTCGCAAAGCTTGCTCTCACCCTTATGCTCCTATGATCAAACCCTAGCTCTTGCTCATCAGGGAAACCTTTCTATTTTGGGAAACCATGGGAATGGTCATTTTGACCTTTTTGGTAACCCTAGTGGTAATAATAATAATAGCAACTTTCTTGATACACTAAGAAGTGGTCTCATTGAGAATAATAGTAACCACTTCTTGTACTATGGTCATGAAGGAAATGGTGCCAATTTCAGGGATGTCCGAGGGACAAACAATAATGTTGATGTTCATCATAGCCATGAGGATCGTCATGAACTTGCTATGAATTTTGTTAGTCATAGCAATAATCGCGACATTATGAGTAATGCTTCTTCGGGTTCTTCAACACCCGAAATTAAGCATGAATTTGGTGGTGACAACAAAATCTTATGGGGTCTTCCTTGGCAACTTAATGGTGAAAGGAATTACATGATGAATGGTGGAAACATCAATGAGATTGATACACTCAAAGAAAGCTGGAATAGTGCTATTGTTGGTTCTACTTGGAACAATCTTCTTAATAGTCCTTTAATGTAGTTCTTAGATTTTTATAAACTTAAATTATAACTTGATATTTTGGAGAGCTAAAAGGAGAGGAACTCATATTTTTAGTTTCTCTCTTGCTAATATGGGTGATTTTTTTTTCTTTAGTCGCTTCACTAAATACTTAGTCTTTGGTTTTTTAACTTCTTTTGGAATACCTTAGTTTTGTCTAGGGGTTTTTTTGTTGGATTGTCTTGGTTGGTAAGCTAAGGTGATGTAATGAAGTTCAAGATTTATATTCTAATTAATGTTGCAAGTATTTCTTTGCCACTTTACATGACGACTCATCTATTATATCCAATACATTTATTGATTTATACATCTGAGTATACATATCTCTAGGTAAACTCAATCATTGATTGAAAAATAATAACATTGCTCATTTGCTTATACAAGAAGGACCTTGCTGTAAACTCAATCATTGATTGAAAAATAATAACATTGCTCATTTGCTTATATAAGAAGGATCTTGCTAACGAACGCCCCCTGTGAATAAGCATTCAAAATCTTACTTAAAGTGATATTAATTTGGGAAAGCATGACTAAATCACGCGTCGATCGGTGTGATTAATATTAATTTTAATTTAATCTTTCTACTTTTAACTAGCTTATCCAACACCCCCGGGGCGTTTATTAGCATTTGCCATACAAGAAATTATGGTAATGAATCAAAAGACTATAATTTTATACATGGGTTTAAATTGAGCAAGGAAGTAAACAAAATTAATTATCTACTTTACTTTTGTTTCTGGAAATAAAATACTCCTCGGTGTTAGGGTAATGAAATTAAGATGTCCTAGAGCTAGGTTAAATGAATGTCCGAATTCCCCTCAGCTATGCCTTGCTATCCGAGAGTTAGGCCTGCAAAAGAGAAAGAAGGTTAACTGCCCCGGGGGTGTGACCTGGGAAAGCCCCTCTGATGCTTAAGTCAGCGAATGTACTTTCTAGAGAGAGAATGAGTACTTTAGAGAGAGAAAGTAGAGAGAGGAGGTTAGAGAATTAGGAAAAAGTTACCATCATTAATGATTGGAGAGATATTTATAGATGTACTTTCAGGTGGCAAAAGTTGTACTTGTTTGGACAGATTAGGGGGTAAATCCGTACTTTACTCTAATTAATGATGGGATAGATCATGGAGGGGTATTTTCATAATTCCAGGTCAATGGGCTTAATACAACGGACTTGACCCAAACATCTTCAATCCCCAAGCTACTTTAATTCAATATTTCACCCAAAAATTTAAAGACACCCTCTATGTCTAATCTATTCCTCTTTTATCCTTGATAAGTCCTTAATATATAAACAACTAAAATAAAAAATAAATCTTAATAAGATTGTGTTTTCTCTTAGCTTTAAATATTACCAACAATAATATCTCATAAGGAACTTTCACTCGATATTTTCTTACTAACATCTCCAAAGTTTCATATTCACTTGGTTTTGTGGGTGATTCACGTGATATCAGTCTCTCTAACCTTATACCCACTGTCTGAACTTAATATACTATGTACTCCTCCGTATGTGTTTTCCCAATGTTTGTAATGTATCTAAAGTGAAAACAGTATAAAATAGACAATACTCTACAATCAAATCTTAATATACTACTCCCTCCGTCTCTGAAAGAACAACCCATTTGGTCTAATTTTAGTCCCAAAAAGAATGACTCATTTGTTTTTTCCAACATCTATTCATTTCCCTTTCTAAAGTGTCAGCTTGGCAATCTTGTGTATTCTAATTATATTGGTTGTTGTAAAACAATAATTTAATCTTATTTCTAATAAAGCATCACATGGATTAGTGCATTATTACATCATGTTTATTAGGCATAGGATAAAGATAAAAACTTACATCTAGGACTTTCTCTCTAGATATTGATTACAAATTATTGTTGTCTTGTGTTTTTCCATACATTTGTACTTACAAATTAAGTTTCTTAATACCCGCGAAATCATCCCAAATAGGTCGTTCTTTCGAGGATGGAGGGAGTATGTAACTAAAGATATTGATACATAAAAATGCATCTTTAAAATCACATAAAACAAAACATGGACACTATAGTATGACATATTACAATTTGACAATTTGTTGATTACTTTTCTTACATTCATAGATAAAACAAACAAATTAAAGGTATAATTTATGTTTGTGTTAAATCCAATGCATATGCATGATATGTTGGGAAACTTATCTAGAGATCGGTGGAGATTGAAGAATGTTTTCCCGTTAATAGGAAAAAGTGGGTAAATAAAGAAGAAATATTGAAAGTGATGTTTCATTTGTCTAAAAGATGTGAAGCCTCTCTATTTTAGGTTGGCAAAATATTTTTTTTGTCAAGTGGTTGGATTTGAAACCATGGTTGTGTTCTCAAGAAATTCGTGCATGATAATTGTGGTACTCATCAACTTTATCGTAGTGGAGTAGTATTATTTATTCATTTTATCATATGATAAGATAATATAATATAATATATATTGATATTATTTTATATTATAATGGTTAGAAATTATAATGATTTTGGAATCAATTGAAGGCATTGCATCACATATCTGGATGTGTGAGAATTTGAGGGATCAGTAAAATATGATGGATGTATGAGAGCACTAATTTCGGTAGAGATTCAGTAGTGTTAGTCGACAAGATCTAAGTTAGGATTTGAGCGTGATGATAATTTGTCAGTAATCAGTGGGAAATCTTGTTATTAGATGACTACAACAAATCAACGAATCTTACGTTTGACGTAGTGTAGTAACTTTGGTTGGTTAATTACATGACTAGACAAACCTATGCATATTATTTATGGTTACTAAATTAATAAAGTATTAATAGATGGTGCTTTAAAAGTAAGGAAATGAGATTAAATTTTGTCTTTATTATGTCATTGGCACTAACTGATATATACACTCTTAGGGCTTGTTGAGGTGGCGGATTTAGAATTTTCGAGTTGGTGAGTCACCATCATTTATTGATCACATATAAAAGTACAAAAAAATTTGGGTCTAGTTCGTAATTGTTTTCAATCCAAAAATTATATTAAAAAAATAATTATATTACAACCAAATTGATTTCAATCCAAAAATAGAACACAAAAATCAATATTACAATCAAATAATAGAACTTAAGAAATTCATCTTACAAGCTAAAGTTACTACAAATAATATCTAACAAACAAATAGGACCAATCCATTATTTTAGTAGTAGCAAAAAAAAATATACAATGACTTTAGAGACCGGTTTTTTAATAATAACCGGTCTGTTTGACCCGTTATTATAAAGAATACACTACAACAAATCGACTTTTGTGCCACGAGAAAAATCGTGGCACAAGTTTAAAATTCCCGTGGCTATGCAGTTTAGCCACGGGAATTATGAAATTTACTCTTGAGGCACAAGAGGTTGAGGCAAGAAATTTGCCACGGGAAAAAGGATGTCGAGGCTAATTTTGAAATTTATGCCACGGGTATTCACGTGGCAAAAGATACTAACGAGGCTAACTAATTTGCTACAAAATTATAATGTGGCTAATAAACTTGGTAACCACAGATATTACCGTTGCTAATATGCTTGTTTGCCACAAAATATAACTGACCTTGTATAGCCGATTTTGTCGTGCCTCATGTGGCTAAAAAATTTAAATGTCAGATATAGGTTAAATAAGTTAAATTTGATATTTTTTGAGATCAATATATAAATTTCGTGACACATAATAAATTTGGAGGATGTTTAATATCCATACAAATAAATATATATTCGAAATTAGTATGATTTAGTACTATTCACATACAAGCACGAAAACAGGGAAAAAAAAGAGTTATGCCCTCATATCCTTTTACATTATATTTACATTATATATGTAATTTGATAAAAATAAATAGTAGTAAATCTTGTGCTTTGCGGTTTCCTTTTTACCTTCAAGAACGAAAAATAAAAAGAATTAGTTACAAAAATTATTGTAAAAGCCTAATAAATTAAACTATATGTTTGGGTCCAATTTAGTCCAATTAGGCCTAGTCATTAAATGATCCAATTAAAAGCCCAAGGTCAAGGTTCAAATCCCCAATTGTGCTAAAGTCAAGATCAGTCCACAAGGCAAGTCAATTGGGCCAAGGACCACATTCTCCATATATACAAAGGTATAAAAACCATCAATATTACATTGGTACGGGGATGAAAAAAAACAAAGCCTCAAGCAATTAATTCTCTTGCATAGCTTTCTCTCTCTACACACTGTACTGACTTTAGCATCGGAGGGGCCTCCCTCGGCAACACCCCCGAGGCTAGTTTACGTGCGTTTGTTGTGCAGGAAACCTTCGGCCCAACATCACTTGGACCGAATCCAGTCTTCACCACTTCATCGGACCTTCGGCAAGGTCCCATTGTTTTCACCCGAAACAATTTGGCGCCGTCTGTGGGGAGACGAGTACTACTACCCATGAAAATCCACTAATTCATGGCTACTGTGTTCTATCACGAAAAAGGGTCAAAATTTCTAGCAAATTTAACCCAAAATTATTACTCCTGTCAAAAGGGGTAATCATTCTTGCAAATGGTGGAGATGATAGATAAACATTTTGATTTGTCGCCAATCTAACCACTACTAACAAGGTACTTCGTGCCTTTACAAAAAAATTGGGAAATATTCCATGAATATGGTCAAACCTTAATTATTCTTGAAGAAGAATAAAACCTAGATCTATGTGGCTCTAATGGAAAGCTCACAAAAGCAAGCCTTTCATTCACACCACCAAGTTGAAGAGGCAGCAGGTGGCATGAAACATACATAAAAAAATCAATCAAGTTTATGTAAATTCAATGCTTGCCGAAGGAAATTGCCATTGTCTTCATCACAAGCTTCAAGGCTCACAACTCCACCACTAGAACGACTCACCATTTCATCCTAGGCAACACATTCCGAGGTCAATGGGGGTCAAGGCTAGTATTGTGAAGTGAGCCAAATCTCTTCACATTACATCTAAAGTAGCAGCCGAAGAAGATCCGAGGTTGTCTACCATTGTTGAAGCTTTAAAAAGCTCAAACTATCACCAATCTAAAAATCCGAAGCAAATAGCTCGGATAAGCAAAAGGAATCCGAAGCTCATCGAGCCGAGGCTATCCGAAGGTATTTCAGCCCAAGCCGAAGGTGTTCTGGGCAAGCCAGCCGAGCCGAGACCGGTGTTTCAGCCAAGCCTAAGGCTTTTCAGCCAAGACCGAAGGAGTTTCAGCCCAAGCCGAAGGCGTTCTAGGCTAGCCGAAGGTGATTCAGCAGAAACCAAGGGTG